AGTGTGTGCTCCTGTTAATGCAGTCTTACCGATTGTTAAGCGAGTCATTGACCCGTTTTTAAGTTGTAAATTAATATTCTGACCATCAAATATCACTTATCATTTATATATCCAAATAATTTTTAGGTGTTAATTGTTTATTTTGTCGTAAACTAACACCTTTCATTTTTTGTGCAATCTTTTTAAAATCACTTCCATCAATTGAACCGTTGAATGATGTATAACACATTGGGCATAAAGCAACCATGTTATCACCTTGTTTCTCAATTGCTAAACCAATAACTTCTTCTCATGTGCTTTTCTTCAGCTTTATTCTCTTATAAGGTTTAAATTTCTCATCAAACAGAAGAAATCAAATGGTGCGAATTTGAAAATGTTTTTATCATAAAATTTTTTATCGGTTACAATTGCTTGAAATGCTTGAGTGTTAGGAAGATTTGGATCGCCAGCGATTGCCCAATAAGATGAATCAGTATCACCTTCAATGAAATGAAAACGATTAACATTCATGCATTTATACATAAAATCATAAATGAAAACCAAATACCAGTATTTATCATTATCTAAAGTGAAGAATGCCTCTTGTAAACATGTATCACATCTATAAAATCTATCTTTAAGCATCACTTGATACGTATCCTCTCCTATTTCTCTTATGTTTTTAAACTTATTTGACATACATGCAACGCGTGCCTTCTGTGCATTCATTATTTTAGTCTTTGCGTAATTTTGTGGTGTATTCATTGCATCGTAACCATATGATCCATTAAGCGAAATCTTGCAAAATAAACTTTTTCCTTTATTTCTTCTAATTCAGCCTTTTGTCTTTCGTTCATAAATTTGTTCGCAAATTCATTAAAACAAGTGTTTTTAGTAAATGTTAAAATTGATTGAATATCATCGATGATAAAATGAAACTGTCTATTAGATACCATAGATAATAAGAAGAAAATGGTTGATATTGGTTGTGTGTTGATGCTAACTGAGTTAATTTCCTCTGTTTCTGGTCAACTGGTAGATTGTTTGATTTCATGTAATTATACATAAAACTGCCAATTGTTTTTTCATCTGTGATAATATCTAAGTTTCTTATTATTGGTAAAAAGTTTATGTAATCATTAACGTATTTTTCATCAATGTGACCCTTTACTTCAGCCACGAATAAAGTATTTTTCTTCTTAATTATTCCCAGTGCTTTTGCTTTCTTTGTTGCTGTATCACAAATGATAACACCATTCAATCTTCCCGGCATATACATTTTATGGTCAGTATATTGAATGAAATCATGAGGATTAGATGAAAATGATGAAGGATATAATGAATTAAAATCAACACCAACGAAATGAGTCATAATGTTGGTGGTGTCCTCATTTGATACAGTTTTAGTTTCTGGACTATATGAAAGTTTATTAATGTGCGTGATTCCTTTAAGATTTACTCTATGTTGAACATTTGATAGACCACCAGTAATTCCATTACGGAGAATGTGATAAGCTTCAACTGAATCTAATGTCATTGGTAAATTATTTTTTAATGCATAATTTCTTAAATTGATTCTTAAACGTTGAACATCTTCATCTTTATTTGATTTTACGACATTGCAATAACAACACATTAACTGACAATTTTCTTTGGTATGTGGTTTTTCATTATCGATTCTATCCAATGTTGGTTTATTTGCATATGTAAACGCTTTACCACACATTTTGCATTTAGATGAAAGGATTAAATCGTGATAGTATTGAAAATCATCCATTGAAACATTATTTTTAGTATCTCTTTCTGCTTTTTCATCTTGTTTCTTATATGATTCAATTTTATATTTCCAATACTTTTTCGTTAATTCAAAACTTGATTCTATCTCTTCCTCGGATATTTTTCATTAGGATTAAAGTCTTTATATGCTAAAGCGTAACGAATCATTGAAGCATTCGATGATAAAGAAAGATTATGAAGCGTGTCAATTTTATAAACAAATGTTTCTTCAATAATTTTATCGATTGGGTCAATCATAATTTCAACATCTTTATTGCAATAATGAATAAAATATTCTAATCTATTCTTAAAATTTTTAGCATCATTGAGATATATTTGATAATCACTATCTGATATAGTTTCTTGAGTTAATGCTGAATAAAATGAATCTTGAGTGAATGGTTCCACTTTATATAATTCTTCTTCGTAATTTTCCCATGTGATGAATTGATAAGGGAAAAAGGATTTAACACGTGATTTATTGTTTCCGAAATCTTGAGTGAATTGGTCTAATGTCCCACCCGCTATATAATTTCTGATGTCAATAAATCTCAATTCATATGGAACGTTTGTTTTCTTTACAATGATTTGCTTAAATTGTGAAGATGAACCCAGCATTGATTTTATTTTCCATTTTGCAGTGTTTAAATCATGAAGAATTAAATTTAAATCAAACTTTCCCGAATTAAAACCTATGATATTCACTTTATTGAATTCCTCATCTAGAAGTTCTTTAAATGCTTCCTTCTGTTTTTCATTTAATGTATGAGACAAAGTCCCCACCGTTTGCGGCTTCAATAATTCTTCATATTGTTCAATATTTGATTTAGCAACTAATGAACAGGTTGAAAATAAAAACTCAATCCAATCAGAAATAAAAGAATCACTCGAAGTTAAGCAAAAATTCCTCGTATATGTTTTATCATTTAATTTAACCGTTGATGATACCATGAATGGTTTTAAGTAAGCGTTCAAAGTTGCACACTCAGAAAGTTGTAATTCTTCTTTAGTCTCTAATGTTTCAAAGTCAAAAGTAATATAATATCTTGTCGGTTTATAATATTTCTGCAAATTGTGAGCTAATAACCACTGATATATCTTCTGTTTCATAATGTGTGGTGCATATGGTTGCTGTGTCTTTTGCAACTGAACGTCTTGAATTAATCTCCCATTATTTTCTTTACATTTCTCACAATGCTTTAAAAATCTTCTTTGGTTTTTCCTTTCTGGATCATCACGGATAGAATAAACTTCTTCTTTACAATATGGACAAACTTTATAGCCGGTGAGTGCTTCTACGTCTGTTATTCTGTCAGCGTGAAGTTTTCCACATGGACTCTGTGTTAATAAAATATTTATTGTTTCAAATTCTGGATCTATCATTATTGATTCCACTAATGGAAAGTCTACATTATTTATGTCCACGTCTTCTGGTTGAGGATCACAATAATAGAAATCAATATTAACATTTAACATTCTCGCTAATCTCTCACTTTCTGTTGAAATGTCAAACCCTTCATATGCATCTATTGCTTCATTTAAATAGCTTCTACGAGTTTTAGGATTAACACCATCAGGAATGTTATAGAAGCGTTTAAATAACCTTCTACCTTCTGCTCTAATTTGATTATCATTCATTTTAGCTGTTCCGTTTTTGTTCATTTATGTAAGAATAAAAAATTAAAAAATAAATAAAATAAAGTTTATTTTTTAAAGCCCATAAAATGAATTAAGAACACATAAATTTTTATCATCTGCGACGTGACGAATACATTTTAATTTACTCAAGAATGCGTACCCTGATACATTAAATCTAATTCCCGTCTTATTTAATTTCACAACTTTGAAAAGGAATGTATGAATAGCTATAAAATGATGAGAAGATGTTTTATGGGTTGCTTCCATTTTTTCTGAAATAAATGAATAAATATAATGCTTATACGTTTTCATATCTTTTATATTCTTAATAACGAATGGTATAGACCTTTCAACTTCGTCTTCCTTCGGTGCTGTTCTTTCATATGAAACATTATTGGTATCTTCAACAATGAAACCACAATCACACAAAATTTTATAGGTTCCAATGGTTTCTTTTGATATTTTATCTAATAAATCAAAAACTTTATCAACACCCGTGCATTTATTTAAATAATAATTTGTGTAAATATCATGATCTTCTTTCTTAATCGTATTAGTTGCATATGTCACGTTTTTTAGTGCTTTTTTGAATTTTTCGGAATCGAGAGGGGGTGAAAGTAAGATACAAGGGTATTCTTCATTATCAATAAATTGTAACTTATGTTTACGAATAAATTTAGTACCTTCTTCTGAAAGTGTTTCGTCTATTTCACCATCTAATAAATTTTGTGTTGATTCTGAGACATAATTTTTATATCTTTCTTCATGAGATTTCTGAACTTCTGATTCTGAAGCTGGGATATTCATTAAACCCTCTACTTCATTTTCATTATATTTTTCAACTTCTCTTAATTCCTTAATTTTTTCATCTATTTCATCTCTTATTTTTTTCAGTCTTTCAATTTCATCGTATTCATCATCTTTAATTCGTTCTTCATAATATTCAGGGAAAACATCAGGTTCTTTAGGTTTTTCTTCTTCAGATGTAGGATATAAGAAATTTATAACATCATCTTTATTCATTTTTCCATCATAATCTAAATCATTTAATAACTCCGCGAATTTTTGACAATTTCTTAAATAATATTTATCAACTTCATAACCCACCTCCTCTAATATATCCTTTATTTCCCCGTTTGTGAATCCTAATTTTTTAACGTTGTTAGTTTTGACGCTCATTTCATACAAAATAAAGAAATAAAATAATAAACATAACTAAGTTTTAATTTTTCGTAAGACATGAATTTTTAAAGTTTATTTTTTAAAAAAATTATTTTTTATTTCATTATGTATGGGCTGAGTGTAAATGTCTTACAATTTTGAAAATTTTTTAAATCTTGATTTATTCAAAAACGTAAGAATAAAAACCGTAAGAATCATACATTTTTTACTTCATATGTTAAAAAAAATGATACAAAATCGCTCGATATTGTATGAATTCTTACGTTTACAAAAAAAGTCACAAAACCCATCAACATATACTACTATCATTTTTCTTAGTTTGTGTGAATGCTATTTGTATGATAAAAGTTTGCATTCGTTGAAAGTTTGTTATTTTTCATCAAAATATTGCACAACTATGAAATTCGAAAGCTGGCCAAAAAAAAATGGTTTTAATCCAGCTAAATAACAGAACACTCCAGAGGATTAATGATTACAATGCACAAGACAAAATTACTTTAACGATAAACAATATCGAAATCGTATTTAACAAATCTTTTGCAATCGCAATTTCTCAAAAGATATATTCTCAGTATCTTTTAGATAAAAACATCGATAAAATTGATGTAAATTCTGATGTTACTTCGAATGATACATACAATATATTAAAAGATTTCCTTCAATATCGAAATACTGAAATTGAGGTTGATAAAACAGTGCTGAAAGATCTTCTTCATGTTGGATTGTCTCTAGAAATCCAAGAGTTAATAGATTTATATAAAATGAATGTTATTGATAAAATGAAATTAGATATAACAAATTGCATTCAATTTCTTGAATTTTTTATTAAAATTTCTTGGAATGAGAAGTTTATTGAAAGCACAGATTTTATTGCAGAACATTTCTACGAAATCGATCAAAACCAACTTAAATTAGTTTCTAAAAAGCTTGGTGTTAATATTTTAAAGCAGATACTCAACAACAAAAAACTCCAAATCGCTGATGAAGATTCACTAGCTAAATTCATCATATCTCTTGCAAGAGAAGACATTGTTTTCAGTTCATTGTTTGAAAACATTTATTTTGAGTTTTGCAAAGAAGAAACAATCAGAGAAATGAAAGATTTCGTTACATCTGATAACTATCAGGATGTTGTCAATTCACTTGTTGACTCTATCATAAGATCAAGAGATCCTAAAAATAAAGATAGATGTGGTGGAAAAGAAGTAACAAACTATTTTGAGAGCGGCAATGTAGTGATGTCAGCTTCTTCCACTTCCAGTGAATCAGCCGAAATTATTAATAAATATAGGAATGATACCCATTTCCAAACTCGTAATGAACCAAATTCATGGGTTGAATGGAAATTAAAGCAAAACTATTTAATTCAGCCTACAAGTTATATTGTCAGAACGTCACACAATGGTAATTTTCGTTATAAACTTCAAACATGGAGAGTTGAGGGATTAACTACTAATGGGGAAACAAAAGTCATTCATGAAGTTTCTAATTCACTACTAAAAAAAGGTGAAATTCGCAAATATGATATTACATCTAATGATAAATTTGTGTCATTCAAATTAATTCAAACAGGCAAAAACAGTTATAATAATGATTACTTACTTATTGATGTTTTTGATTTCTCAGGCAAAGTATTTGAAATATAATTCCTTTCTTGGTAAATATCTCCAGAAAATTAATGATATCGCAAAACTACTAACTAAATTTCAATGATAATAATTTTGTTTGTTACTATAATTAGCCCATCTATATTTGAAAATCATATATTCCATGTTGATATTGTTTTTATTGGTTATACTCAGACATCAATGATTAATCGGCCAAACATAATTAATGATGCTTTTACTATTTTCTGACATTCTTCATTTATATTCTCACACAAGCTTTATATTCCAATTTTCTAAGGTAAAAAGTTATTATATATCACTATATATAACATAATATGGATATTATACTTTTTTTGTTATTAAAATTAAGATATATTGATTTTCTGATACCCTTATATTACTTATATAAAAAAACTAATTTTTGACAAGTAATAAAAACAAACAAATATAATTATATTTTATTTTGGAGTATAGTTAACATGGTCAACAGGATTGATGAAATCTGCCTGTGTAAAATTCTCTGGTTTATTAAGAACGGCGTATGATCTTGACTCCTTTATGTTCTTTCTCAATCTCTTCACGTGTTTCATAACCATTACGGGATTATATTTAAATTCGATTTTATCTTTCGTTGCTTTCATTCTTATATTATCATTCTGTATAGTCATCACACAAAGAGAAGGCGGTGGTTGTGGTTGTTCCTTTCTTATTGATATCGCAACGTTCTTTTCTTCAAGTTTTGTGGAATTTTCTTCAGAAAGTTTTTCAATTTTCTTGAAAAATGTTGGAACTGTTTCTTTCTTCTGTAAAACTGGGGATTTTATAGCAGAATTAGCTGGATTCTGCTGAGAGCTACTTTGCTCTGGAGTCTTAAAGCTCTGTGCCAAATTAAAGAAGGCTTTTCTTCGGTCAGATAATGAAAATGTGTTTTTTAGAACAGGTTTTTCTTTTTCTGGTTGTGATTGACGGGATTTGACAATAGAAATTGCATCGGTGTCTTTAATGATCGATTTTAAGAAATCTGTTGGGTTTTCTACGATTTTTGGATGAGGTGAATTTACACCTCTCAGATTATCACTGGACATTGAAGGAGTTAAGCGGGATTTCTTGGTCTGAGAAGGGAAATACATCGATTTGGAGGAAGAAATGATACTTTGAGAAGAAGATTTGTCATCTTCATCATCAGAATCTTTTACATCAATGATTTGCTTTGGTATTGATATCATTGCCTTTTGTTGTGGCGGAACCTGCATGATTTGGCCCGGTTTTTCTTGATTTTGGGATTCTTCTTTAATTGTATTGAAAATTTTTGTAAGAATCTTGGTATCGACAGCTCTGTTTTGCTTGATCTTTTTCTTGTATTCGATTTTCCTTTCCCTGGCTGCTTTTCTCTTGGCCTCTTCTAATTCCATTTTGAGACCTTCTTCTGGAGACATCAGACTAAGTTTTTTCTCTTCTGTATCAGTTGTAGATATAATGGTTTTCTCAGTTATGGGTGAATTAATTGTTCTTTTAGGAGATGATGGAATTGTTTTGATATTTTGAGGGTTTAAGTTCATTAATCCTGATGGGGATGGAAGAAATATCTTACCATTATCTCCTGCTTGAATAGAATTATCTTTTTCCTCTGAATTATTTTTTGGAGAAATATTTATTAAATTTTTAGGAGTTTCTACATTATCTTTCTTTTCTACATCTGCATTTTTTATTTCTTTTTCCATTTCTGTCTTTATTTGCGGCCTTTTTATAAATTTATCTGTATTTTGATTTTTATTTTCGGAAATACGATCTCCAAGAATAATATGCGGAGGAAGTTCTAAGCTTGGTACTAAATCAATCATATTTTGAACAAATTTTTGATAATTTTGTTGACATTCTTGAATAAAAACAAAATTCTGCGAAGGATCTGGTATAATACATGATATGAGATTTTTAACATGTAGTAGATTGCCATATGCTTCATTTTGAACCTTTTGAAGTGCTAATTTTTCTAAATTTGTTTTTTCTTTAAATTCTAATGAATTTTGTATTTTCTGAAGATCTGTTTGAAAATTATTGATTTGATCTCTGACTTTCCCTTCAGGAGACAATTTTTTACTTTTTGGAGTTTTTTTAACTTTTTTAATATTATTGAAAGTAAAAACTGTTTGAAAAGGAGGTGTAATAGCTATTCTCCATCCACCTCTTATGTTTGTAACAGCAATTGTTCCATTTTTGAGATTTTCATTTTCGTTATTTTCCGGAATTTCTGAATTTTCTTGTGTTTCAACAGTAACAACAGATGTGTCTGTCTGAGGAGGTAGAGAAATAGCTTTCGGTGTATCACTCATGACTTCAGATAAAGAAGGAGTTCTAATTAAAGATTCATTATCTGTAGATTTCTTTTTTGGAACTGTTTTAGGCATTTTTGACTTTTTGTCGGTAAGAAATTGAAATAAAGCATGTGATTTGATCGAATAATGTTCATCCAAAATTTCATTTGCAAAAATTTCTTGTAAATCAGGACGTGGTATTATATTTTCTGTTAAATACTTCTTTTCTAAATATATAGGAAGCATTACTGGGTTGGTTTTGAAAAAATTATCGATAATATTATAGTATTTTTTGTGCAATAGCTCAACACTTGTTGTTTTAGCTTGTAGTGACCCTAAAAATACTGGAACTGGAGATTTTTGTACACTTTTTTTCTCGACTTTATTTTTGTCGTTTGCCATTGATAAAGAAAACTGTAGAGTACTAGGCGACTTCATATTTGAAAGCCAACTAGGACCACTTGAAGTATCTGCTGCTCCTTTAGGCTGCCCTAAAAACAAATTCATCATAAATAAAAAATCTTGTTTTATAGGGAATTAGCGGCGTGAAGAGTGGATTTGTGACCATGTAGAATAGTATATTTTCAAATGCATACAAATATACTTTCATGTGATTTTGCAATGTGAGTAATTAAGACTTAAAATTATAGTAATATCTTTATATCGAAGTTCATCGATTCGAAGCTAGACTAGAATGTGATCTACCATGCATTAAAATTAGATGAGTAAGATGCATATAAGTAAATTAAGATCTCTACAAAAAAATATATCAAAAAATATCAAAATTAACATGTTTTATATGTAAAATAACATCAAAATGCAATATTTTATGAAAATTAGGTAAAATCCTTTGTATTGAAATGTATAAGAGAAGTATTTTATATTATTGATAGGAATCGAAATTTTAATCTAATTAAATAACAAGTAACTACGAAAGTAGTGAAATGACTCATGATGCATTGACATTTGATCTAAATTAATGATCAAAATAACGTTTTTGAATTTTAAAGGGCATCTTTAGGAACATTTCCATGGTGCTCACGTCTAAATAGAAGAATATTAGGCTCTGGTGCATGACGATGGTAATGTATCCAGCCAGGACTCATTTGTATTCCTAATGCTCTCCATTCTTCTTCACTTAAAAGATGATCTTTTGGATCTTTCCTACTTATCTCTTTAGGAAGAATTACATGACGATATTCATAGACATCATCGTAGTACTTATCAGAGTACCTGATATCGTCAACACTCATCGAAATTTTAAACCGACATTTCATGTCCTTTCACTCGAAAAGTTTGAAATTCACATAAATACTGCAGTTTAGAGAGCATTAAAGCTTTTTGTTTCATTCAATGAAGCTAGGATTGTAATATTTCAGAGAAAATCGGTTTTAAATGTTGAATTGAATTAGAAATTTTAGAACTGAAGAAGATTTTTTTTCCAAAACAGGATCCTTACTTCAATGTGATCTTTGACACGTGATCCAATATATTCCAAATTCTGATTATGCTCTTCATTCCTTATTTTGCCATAACTTTACAAATGTCAAAAAAATTGATGCTTTAAGTTTACAACGACAAAAATTTTGATTTTGACGGTTTACAAAAATGGTGAAATTAGCCAAAGATAGTTTACCTCCAGAGTTATTTCAAATTGCAGACTTTTTCGACGCGTTATGGAAAGTAGATGAAAACACTATTGATGCAGTATACGCAAATCTTTGTGATCTTCGCAAAAAGAATTTGATTTACGATTCTCAAATAGTAAATGCATTAAATCTTATGGCAGGAAGGTTATATAAGAAGATTAAGTTAATTTCCACAATTGCTGAACGATTAATTAATGACTTCAAAATAGATTATGATAGAATTTACGTACAGTCAAAAAATGAAATCCTTTATTCAATCCTTATGCACAAGAACCTAATAAACTACATAATTCCACAGAATTTACGCATGAGAAGTCTTCAAGATTTATATAATTATTTCCCAGTTAATTCTTTTGAGTATGCGATCCTTCATGATGATATTGGTCGATTCAAAGATTACGCTTCAAGAAGTAATTTCGACGTAAACATGAAACTCAATGATCGAGACACTTTATTAGATTTTGCTGTTTCTGTAGGAGCTCTTCAGATCTTTAATTATCTTTTTAACAACGGTGCTGACATTACCGAATATACAGTTTGCCAAAGTTACTGCGGAGGAAACATGGAAATCATAAATTTCTTTGAGCACTCATGCAAACCGATTTTAAGATCAATAAATAACGCTTGCATATACCATAATGAAAAACTTATTAAGCATTTGGCCGACAGATACAATTACAAAACAGATTTTTCAATTTGCGTACAATATTTTAACATTAATCATTTGATATCAATGATAACATCATTAGATGACATCAACCAACAAGATATTAATGGTGAAACAGTACTTTTTGCAGGTGTAAAACGAGATTTATTTTATTTGAACAAATGTTTAATGGAGAATGGCATTAATATTGATATAAAGAACAAGAACAATCTAACAGCATTAGATTTCATTGCTATTTGTCCCAATTCTCTTAGTTTATTCGTTGATAAAATTCCATTTAATAATCTCTTCGATGTAGAGATTCTTAAGAACATAATTGAGTTCGACAATGTTGAATTACTCAAACTACTTGTTGAAAAAGGCTGTAAACTTGATAATTCCTTAGTTTTGACTGCTGCTTTGAGTGGATCTTACGAAATAATGAAGATTCTGCTTGAAAACCATTGCGATGTTAATTATCCTGTCAATGATACCTATCCAATTTGCGCAATCCCTGATGATCCCGAATTATTAAAATTAATGATAAAATATGGGGCAGATGTCAACTTAAAGTCAGCCAAATTCTCTCCCATATCCACACATATGATCTACAGCCATTATAAAGTGGTAAATATCCTTGCAGACTACATTGACGACGCAAATCAAGTAAATTCTCTTGGAATTTCACTTTTAATGGACGCTGTCACAGTTTCCACCGAACTAGTCAACAAACTATTGAAGATGGGTGCGGATGTACACTACAAGAACACGAAAATGCAAGGTTTCACTGCAATTCACGTTTGCGCAATGTCAGAACAGCAAAATACTGAGATTATGGACATTTTGATCGACCACGGACTATCCGTGAATGAAAGGGATAGCGAGGGCAACACTCCTTTCCATTATAGTGTTGCTTTTGGCAAATTAAAAATGTCTCAGTATTTAATTGAAAAAAATTCTGACGTAAATGCAGTAAACAATGCCGGACAGACGCCATTAAACTATATTTGCACAGAAACAGAGGAATATCAGAAGATCATCGCTTTAGATAATCCGAATATCGTGAAATTCCTTGTAGAGAAGAATAAATGCGATAAAGAGCTTCCAGACAACAAAGGAATGACTCCTCTGATGAATTGCGCAAACACAAACAGATTGGAATCGTTCAAAGTTCTTTTGGAAAATAAATGTGACGTTGAAAAATTTTCAAAAGATGATGAAACGGTTTTAATGATTTGTTCAAGGTTAAACAACATTGATTTCATCAATATTATGAAAGACATGAAAGTTCTTAACCTAAACACACAGAATACTAAAGGACAGACATGTCTTCACATCAGTTGTATCAATAATCATCAGCAAACAATTATGAAATTGATACAACTTGGAGCTGATTTTAATTTGGTAGATTCGAATGGACAGAGTTTGTTCCACCTCGCATGCTATTACAATATGAAAGAGATTGTTTCTTATCTGATAAAGAATGGTGCTTTGTTTAATGTGCGTGATAAAAATAACAAATCTCCATTTTTAATCGCTTTGGAAAGAAACAACAAAGAAATTTGCATGCAGTTAATAAAAACAAACAAATGCGTGTTCTATGACATTGATTTGTTGGCTGTGTTTAAGAAGCCTAACCAGGTAATGATTAAGGCATTACATACTTATTATAGAAAAGAAATGGAAATAATTGTTCACAAAATATTATTTGAATAAAGATTAGATATATATAAATTTAGATCAACGAAATGAAAAGGATAAGTGGTAAGTCTATCCTTTGTATAACAGCTCATTAGTTACTGCATAGTGATATATAGTGATCTATAGTGGCTTTTTATGGGCATAAAAATATTATTAGAAAAGCTTCTCCAATAATATAGGACTTGTTAACCTATCTCGTCTCTGATTTTTCCATATGAGGGACTGATACTGTAATATTGATATCTATGTACTAGAATAAGATATTTTATAGAAAACACTTGGCACTTACTAATATGTGAATAAATTGTAGCAGATAACTTCAAATACCAAGACCGAATTTATTCCCATCTCATTGAATTCTGCTAATTATCATTAGTGAGATAACTCAAAGTTTTAAATATGATATGCGCTAATATTTCAGCAAGTATAAGTTAAAAAGATTAATGTAAATGATGATATTTTAATCTCATGGACCGAAAATAATATATGTTTTTAATATAAGCATATTTTCTTTCAAGATGGAATTCTGAAACGATCGGCGCTTGAAAAAAGTGACGGCTTGTCCGCCTTTCTAATGCCTGTCAAGAGGAGGAATCATGGCCGTTCCAAGATGAACCGTGGCCACACAAGAACAGTTAACTGCATGAACTGCGGCCGCCAAGTTCCAAAGGATAAGGCCATCACACGTTTTGCTATCAAGAATATGGTCGATGCTTCATCAGCTAAGGATGTTTCCGATGCTTGCATCTACCAGGGCTACGAGCTTCCAAAGACATACCAGAAGCAATACTACTGCGTTTCATGCGCCGTCCACCGCCACGTTGTTCGCCCACGTAACGTTAACGTTCGCCGCAACCGTGTTCCACTCTTCCTTAAGCTTCGTCTTGAGAAGCTCGAGCAGCGCAACGCACAACGCCTTTCCAAGGAGTAAATTTTGCTTAATAAAAATACAATTTGAAAGCTACCAAAAATAGTATAAATTTATGCAGGACCTTTGACAGTATATTTAAATATCATTTCGATGATCTACAAAAATAAGTTCCCATCATATGTCGGAAATTGAATTTCATTCAATTTCCGACATATGATGAAATACTTGAAGAATTTTCAATTTTTAGCCTCTTTTAAATTGAATGTAATTCAATTTTTGAGGCGGCTCATTGAAAATCCGTCAAGTATTCAAATATAATATTTCAAATTTTGTACTAAAATGAGATATTTTCATAACTAGCTTCTGCAAAGTTTGGTAGAAAATAAAAATATAATTAATAAGTATATAAAAAACAATTTATTTTTTGCCTGATTCCGCTTTAAGTTTCAATATTGCAGCGTGTTGTCTTTCTGCAATACTCTTGAGATTTTCAATAATCTCTTTCTTCTTTTCATTCTTAAATACCAATATCTTAATTGTTTCTTCCATTTTTTCTGGTGATAATTCGTTCGCTTTTGCTGTTGATTGAGCTTTGACTTTTGAAAATTTCCTCTTGAATTCAGACAGCTGACGATTGAGACTATTCCTTTCGTCTTCTAATGTGCGTATTTTCGAAGGAATTTCTTGAATAAAAACTGTAATTTCGTTTTCATTTTCTGGTTCACGTTGCTCTATCTCTTTGAAGGTGTTCCTAGCTGCAGATGGAAGCATAGAATTCCTGGGAGCTACTGAAACTGTTTGTCCAACTTCCATACCAAGAATTTGTGATCTAGCACCGGCTTGCGTGAGCTGGCCTTTCAGTTTCTGTAATTCGTGGTTATTCCACTTAGCTGCTGTTTCGAGTTCTTTAATTTGCCTTGTTTTTTGCCTTAGTTCGTCTTCTAATTGCGAAACTCGTGTTTTTGTAACAGCTAATTGATATTTATCGGAATCTGCTTTAGTTAAATCTTCTTCTAAACCAGTAACTGTTAGTTTATATTGATCAACTTGCTTTTGTAGTACTTGTTGATTCAAATTTGCATCATTTAATTGGATTTTCAACGCTCTGATTTGACCATTAAGATCATTGATTTGGTTTTTCAAATCTTCAGTGTTTTGTTGTTGCGTGGAACCTGATGAAACTGGTTGTTGATTTGCTAACAACTCGGCAAGCTTTTTATATTCTGCTTGAATAGAATCTCTCTCTTCCATTATGCGATTAACATCTGATTTATGTTCGTTTATTTCATTTTCCAGCATTTTCTTCAAATCTTGTTTATCTTGGAATAATTGGCGAAGAACTTGCTTCATTTTCTCATCACCAGATGGCTGTGCTTCTTTTGGCTTCTCTTCTACTGGTTTTTCTTGTTCATTTTGACTATTTATTGATCCAACTTCACTTCTTTCTTTACTCATAATTGAGAAAAAAATTGCCAAAATCGATTTTTTCAAAAATTTATTTCTAAAAAATAAACAAAATTCATTGATTTATATGAAATTATATATCTATCAATTTTTATGAATAAGGAGAAATATCTATTTTTATCAATATTTCATTTTCTATAAACCAATTTGAAATTTTCTATATTTTTCCAAAATATGAATTCGCAATTTTTAATAAATATGCAAAAGAGACACTTAAACCTAATAGTCACACATATGAAATAATGGTATAATCCAGAATGTGAACATATAAGATTTTTTTTACATTCATTTTCAAGGTGATTAGGTTTTATATAAGCTTCCTTTTCCAAAACTCATTATTATACTAAATTAAACCAAATCATTTACTCTACAGTAACAGATATGGAATGCTGTTCTATTGTTCTAAATTCTTCTCAAATTAGGAGTCAAAAATACGAAAACCAATATACAGTGCTTATAAAGAAAATGTTTCTGCAATCAAAATCTCCAACAAATTATCTTGAAAAACGGTTTTTTTGTCCGTTATAAAATATTACCCCAATGGCTCAGCCTCAAGTAAACGACCCAAATTTCAACCCAAAATTCATCGATATGGATGAAGAGAGAGTTGAAGAGGCTAAGAAAATAATTAAAGAGGCTGTTAACAAATGCTCCGATGAGCGTGAAATGGCTAAAATGATCAAACTACACTTCGACGAGCTCTACGGCAAAATCTGGCACTGTGTAGTAGGTAAATCTTTCGGTACATTTGGAACCCACGAAACAAAGAACTATTTGTATATTTATTATAAGCAAACAGCTGTCCAACTCTGGAAATGCGGTTATATTTACGAGAAAAAGGAACAGACAGAAGAGCAATCTGAACAGACTGCCAATAATTAAAATTTGCATATTATTTGTCTTCAATTCTTTTAGTTTTATCTATGTTTAATAAGTAATTTGATAGAATCAAATTTTAATTGATGGATATTTAAGTAAAAGCTACCAATTTTTTAAAAAATTTTGAAAAATATTATATTGTTTATCTGTATGACTTTTCATTTATCATACTATTTCAACATATTTCAAATGTTAACATTCTTCTTCCTAATTAACTTCATTCATTTAATATGTCAAATATTTATGTTATATCTTGGAAATTTTTATAATTAGTCTAGCACCCATCTCAAATCAGAAATCCTTAATTATACTGAAGTGATTTAGCAATAACCTTTAATATATTGATGAAGATGGAATGTTGGAAGTGGTTTATTGGTTCGATTGAGGCTGCATTATATTCGCTATGGCTATTAAACCTATATCACATACACAGTACATGATGGCATCATATTTTTCTCTTCAGAAATTTTACAAGCAAACTTTTTCTCGGAATGACTTCTTTGAATGAATCTACTGAAATTCAAAGAATCATTGACGCTGATAAAGAGATAATTATGTTTGCCAACTGGATGCCTATAACAGGCAACATTACAAAAGGCGATGGATTACTTATAATTTCAGATATAGCAATGTATGTTATGCAATATGATACTCAATGCCAGTTGATTTCTAGAGCGAAAGAGTACATTGTGTCCACCGAATCAGTTACATTTCAAGAACCAGATTCATTGAATTTCACATTTCCTAATGATCGTCAAATAATATTGAAATTCCCATATCCAAAGGATATCATGAGCATATTTATTACACAATTATGGCAAATCTCTATCCAAAATGAATTCCCTCAAATTTCTGAATCTCTTTCTATCTCTTTCAAGCAGTTTCACCCCAAAATTAACATAGCCAAGCGTTTTTATGCTAAATCCCTTACTAAGAATCGCACAATTTCAACAGAACTTTATAAAAATATACTTCATTATTTTGAATCAAAGCCAAATACAGTAGTTATATCGGAAATCAATGGAGTAGAGAATTTCATTGATGTTTTGCTCTTTGCGATATATCCATTTGATTATATTAAAAAACTTGTGATAGATGGAGAAACAACGAACTCCTACTTCAGAAATATATCACAAAACTCCGAGTATCTAGCTAATATACGTACCCTTGTCATTTCCGCTACTCCAGATGAGTATTTCCCAAATTGTATGCAAAGTTTATCAAATTTGACCATAGAAAGGATCGAATTCAGAGGTCTTGCAATCGGAAAAGAGCATCTTGATGCAATCTCATCATACTATCTTAACAGCAAGTGCCAATTCATCAATTTTGAAAGAATTTCATTTGATTGTCGAGAAACAGAAGTAAATCAGTTCTTTACAACACTTTCATCTGCAAGTAGTAATAGAATTATCGGTCTTACAACCGTCAGAATGGACAAACGCGATGAATTACTCAATACTTTCATGAGATTGAAGCATTTATACCTCAGAGGTACAGGACTCAATCTTTCCAAGATATTTAAGAGCTTGCAAGGCACAAATATCGTCACAGCTGACCTTTCCGGAAGCAGATGTCGAAAATTACTTGATCCATCGATAAAACTTCCATCAAAGCTTTCGAAATTGATTGTAAATGAGATATCATGGACAAATAGATCGTTGTTGGCCCTTTTCACCATGGTTGACAACCTTTCTTCCCAAATTTCTCTTTCAATTTCGCACGCAACGATGACAAAAGACCATTGGACGTCATTTTTCGGCGAAAAGGTATCAATGAAGAACATCCAAGCCTTCACTTGGAACGACAATCCAATAAATCAAGCTTTTGTCAAGAATATCTGCAAATCTCAAGTGAAATACCTCTCCGTTGGAGGAAATCTCGAAGGAGGGTCAGCAAATGACTTCTTCCAGTGCAGTAACAATATCGAATTCCTTGATATTTCCGGATATGGAGATAAAAAAGTTTGTAACTCTGTAATTGAAACTGTTATATCAGCTGCGAAGTCAAAACGTGTTAAATACATTGATTTCTCGGGTAACAATATAGGAGATTCGAAGTTTGGAACTTTAATTCCTTTCATTTCCAGATTTGATGGATTTTTGATGGACAAAAATTCAATTTTAGATCCGAAATCATATTCACAGCTCCAAACAGAGTTCCAAAAGAGGCAAATGCAAATTCCAACCATTGCTCCAATGTTTGATTACTACAAATCACCGAAAGGAGTTCTCGGAAAGGTTCCAGATTTCAAGGGTAAGTTCCATTTGAAGTTCGAAACAAGAAGTTTCCCTGAGCAATCAAGTGTTGCTGCAGCAGATTTCAAAGATCGGATAAAGTCAGAGAATAAGACAGGAGTTATCGAGGACGCGAAGTCAGTTATGATGATTCCAGCACCTTTATCAGATTATATGCCTCTTGTGAAGGAAAGAGAGCTAAGATTGGAAGATGATCCAGTCGAAACTGATAAATGGGCTTTGGATCTTGTAGAAATACCTGCTAACGAATTTGACAAACTCAAATCATCTATAATGGCTGAACTTAACTTCGATAATCTCAAAAAGAACCTCATGGAAATCGCTCAATAATCGTTTTTATTAAGTTATTTTGTTATAAAAATTCGGAATTAAGTTATATTTAACTTTTTTTAAAAGATTTCATATGAATAATTTTGTTGAAACTGAAGAGAATAAGTTTTGTACTTAGAATAAGCATGTCATTGGACTTAAATTGCATATTTTATTAATAAATTCTTGATAGATAGACTTAGAATAGAGCAATTAGGCAATATTCTGTCAAAATCTTGAAATGAACATTCAAAGTTTGAGCTCCAAAGAATCAAGGGAAAATTTTTCCAAAATATCTTTAAATGTGATTAAAATAGACAAATTTTATAAAAGATTGCAATCATTTCAAGTAATTTCAGATTATTTACAACAAACATAGAATGCCGAAACAAAATTAAATGAATTATGACAACAATTGATTCAAAACAATATAAAATTCTAATATCTTTATTTAAATATCTTCAAATTCATGTTTTCTCAACAAGTAATTGAAATTATAGAGAAACTCTTGTGCAAGTTTTGTACATTTATGCTGTAAATATGTGAAAGCATAAATTCTTGCGATAGTCGTTCCAAATCCGGAATAAAGTCCTTTGAAACCTCTTGTTTGGTACGTATCACGAATTACTCCAACAAAATTCATACCACGAACAGATTCATCAGCAATCATTCTCTTCCTGGCAACGTCAAAAGGATAAGTAGCGAATTGTGCACAGGTAAGTACAGTTCCATGCACGAGAAAATCTAATACTGGGGAGTTCTTGATAGGATACTTATGGAGAATTATCTCAGAAGCAAACATTACACTGCGATATGGAATGTATCCAATTAAAGTAGGATGAATACCTCGTAAAAATCCGTTAATTCCATCAGTTTGCCAGATTTTATATGCAGTCTTTGATATTGTTGGGTATTTAACTGGATTAGAGATCATCAAAGTATGAATAACATCAACAGGATGTGAAACAACTGACGCTGCTGTTGCTGATATCATATCAGCTATACTTCGATTCATAAAGTACCGTAATTCATCAAATAAAATGTATCTAAAAATTGTTTGGTTTGGAATTCGAATTAAGTCACATGCAAATCCATGGAACAATCTCGGAAATCCTTGCATAAGAATTTCATTCCAGAGAATAGAATTTGACTGACTTCCATGAATAATTTTTGATACTTTGATTGTATCTAAAGGAGCAATAAGATATTTAGGACCAATAACGCCTACAAAACCACTCATAAGCATTTGAATCGGAGATAATGAATCATCCGGCTTCTTTTTCCTGAAGAAGCTGAAAAGCATCGACTGCGATCAAAAATTTTATTTGAGAGGCACTTTTTACCTCATTGTCAAAATCAAAAAATGAGTAGATTATGTACTTCTGTTGGATGTGTGACTAAGTTTTATTCTGTATCAGATATAACATCATGTGTAGATAGAAAAGTATGATTTTATATGCAGAGAAGTTCATTAATTATACTGAATAAGATTATCAATTTTTTTTTGCAAAGCATCACTATTTTTTCTTTCAAACTATACATAATGACATCATGTATTTTGACTACTCAAGCGAAAAAAGGATGGATTCAATTTGAAGAGTATCCTTTGCAGATTATGAGGTTTTGTTGCTAGTAAACTTTACAAATTGTAAACTGTGATTTGTCAGAAATATTCCAAAAATTTTTGAAAAGGTTTGTTTGGTTCGACCTTTTTGTCTGATGTCTCGCCAAACAGTGAACGTCCTTACACAGGAAGGTCAGAAGGCTTCCACAATCGAACTCCCAAAGGTTTTCGACACACCAATCCGTGCTGAAGTCGTTAAAGAGGTCTACGTCAACCTTGCTAAGAATGCTCAGCAGCCACACGCCAACGACCCAATGGCTGGTAAGAAGGTTTCTGCCATCTCTTGGGGTACAGGCCGTGCTAAGGCTTGTGTTCCACGTGTCAATGGTTCCGGCTCCAACAGAAATGGCCAAGGTGCTTACGCTAACTTCTGCCGTGGTGGCCACCGCTTCAACCCACCAACACTCCTTCGCCGCTGGTTCCGCCCAGTCCCATCCCGCCAACGCAAGTTCGCCATCGCTTCTGCCATCGCCGCTACAGCTGTTGTCCCACTTGTCCAGGCTCGTGGCCACGTCCTCGGTGAAGTCAAGGAAGTCCCAATCGTTGTTGTCGATGCTGTCCAGGAGATCAAGCGCACACGCGATGCTGTTGAGCTCCTCAAGAAGGTCGGCGTTTACGGTGATGTCCAGCGCGTCCTCGATGGCTCCGTCCACCGCTCCTCCAAGGGCAAGTTCCGCCGTGCTGCCTACAAGACAAAGAAGGGCCCACTTGTTATCTACAACGAAGACAAGGGCATCGTCAAGGCTTTCCGCAACATCCCAGGCGTCGAGACAATCTCCGTCAAGGCTCTCGCTCTCGCTAAGCTCGCCCCAGCCGCTCAGGTTGGCCGCCTTACAGTCTGGACAGAGTCCGCTTTCAAGGCTCTCGATGGCATCTACGAGTCCAAGAAGCGCTTCTCTCTTCCACGCTCCATCATGACAAACGCTGATATCGAAGCCGTCATCACATCCGATGCTGTTCAGTCCGTCCTCAACGAGAAGAAGGAAGTCGTCCCACTTCCAAAGTGCCGCTGCTGCAAGAAGCTCTCCGTCGGTGCTTGCGAGGACTGGCAGAAGGCTCTCAAGGAAGTCGCCGAACTCCGTGCTGCTCAGGAAGCTAAGCGCACATCCCCAGAAGTTGTCAAGGCTGTCTTCGCTGAAGCCGTCGCCGCTCAGCCAGCTACACCAGACAACATGTCTACACAGATCATCAACCACATCCCACTCTAAACAATATAACAGCATATTTAATTTTCATAATCAAACAATAATTTTTTTTTAAATTTATTGTCTAATTTATATATTTTATTGATTGAAAATGATCTTTCTTAGTTAAATTCACTGATGCTTTTTCTTAACTGAAGGTTGATTATCTAATTTGGCTTGAAAAACAAAAAATGATATAATTTTTTTTGTATTCAGACATTTTGCACATTATTTGATGGCCGCACAGTTATGGGCCTGTAGAGACTAAAAGAACATCATGAATTTAATATGCTTCAACATGATATAAAAAAACTGAATCAATGAATTTCAACTTATAAGTATACGCGTATAAGTAATATGCCACAAATTAACGAATTTCTTTATATTTGTTCTAATCAGAACCAACATATATTAGATCAATTGATTTTTTTTTGTCACTTTTGAAAATGGATGTGATTTTTCATATCTCTAACGGTGATACAATTCATGAAAGATACGACGGAGATGTAACATTTAGCGAGATTGAAGAGATGTTTAAAACCAAATATTTGCATGAAGCAACAAAAATTAGATTTTTATATCAGGGAAAAATTCTTACAGGAGAAATGAAATTATCTGATATCGGTTATATTCATCCAAGAGAAATCATGACTTATCCAACTCCAATGCTGAAACCAAAGCCAAAACAAGAACAACCGTCAAACACCACAAACTCCACACAATCACCACAAAATCCTAAACAACCAGGAAATGCTGAACAATCTTCAATATCACAATCGCAAAATCAGACAAATAAAAATAAGTATGAACCTAAAAAAGAAAATTCGCCAGCGATTTCGGAAAAAACAACTACAAAAACCACTGCATTACCCACAGAAAAGAAATCTACTGAAACAAAACAAAATTCTACTCAAAATTCCCAAACACCGAGTAAATCTACATCAAATCCATCTTCATCACAATCATTTCAACCAAGCCAACCAAAGCCAGCTGAATCAAAACCAAAACAAGCAGAAAATAAAAATTCAATTCCGAAACCAAAACAACCACAGCCATTACCTGCTGGAGCTAAGCCTCCATCACAACAAGACTTAAACAAAGCCAGAAATCCAGGTGTTGAAAAAGTTCGAAAAATTGTTCTTGAAAAACCAAATTCAAGCCTATATGCAGTCATTAACTCAATAGGCAAGTCAGATCCTGTTTTGGCAGACAAAGTAAGAGCAAATCCTATTCCTTTCTTGACTTTACTCGGAATTCCATACAAAATTGAAAACGGAAAGATCGTGTTGCAGGAAAAATGAAATATATATTTCTCGTAATTAATAAATTGTTTATTTAGTAAATAAAAATGTTTAATATTTTTTTTTATATTCAATTTTATTAGTACTGCAAATGTATATTCATTGTCAAACTGCAATGTTCTACATGATGCATACATGTACAACAATTTTTATCTCTTCGCATTATTTGTCAAGTTGATACGAATTTACCAAATTCATGAGAATGCTAGAAAGTGATAAATTGCTTTTAAAATTAGATGTTATTAAGGGTGCACCCGTATGTACATTTATTTGAGAGGAGGAGGATTACCCTCTCAATTTTGAGGGATTCGTTAGTTTATTTTCTCGATGAATATGCAATAAAATTTGATTTTTACCTTATCAATATACTTCATATAATATACACATGTTCATGTAAAAACTTTTTTCCAAAATCCTCAGGAATTAAGGGATTTTTGAATTTTAAGAATTTTTTTCGAAAAAAAATATTTTCAGAACAGCCTTAACGGCTAAGATTTAGGAACAATGTTAAGTATCAAAAAGAAAGGAGGTCTGATATAGACAACATATATCGTTGAAGGTTGAAAAAATCTCTAATATTTGAGCCCAAAATTTCAAATTTTAATTTTTTGAAAAAAGAGGCCACCCGTATGTACGTTTATTTGAGAGGAAGAGGATTATATTTTTGAAAGGGTGAAACATTATGAATATGTTAATTATCTAATAATATGTATTATTATAAAAAAGAAAAAATAAAGCACGTTAAAATTTTTCTTTCTTGATTTTTTACAAAATCTACTTAGAATTATGCAAAATATGACTAAATAATTATAAATTTCAAGTTAAATTTTAATTTTGATAAATAATTTAAATTTCAAAATATCAAGTTCAGTTCGACTATGTATGTAGTAATTCCTAAATAAAGTGCCAAAACCCTATTAAAATATATGAACATTTTCAACATTTTAATGTTTTTATTTAAAAATTTGATGGAATATGAGCTTCAAACAATTATTATGTAAATAAAAATAATTAAATATATGTATTTATTCGTATTACAACCGTAGTAAGTCGATTCTTCCTTTCTTCTACTGAGTTTTGAATTTGATTTCGAATTGTAAAGAGATTCAAAGGGAAAATACTAGCGGATAAAAACTACCGCCATGAAAGGGTCATAATGGACTCAAGTTGTATTTTTTGATATTTTTTGCTTTTCGAGCCTAAATAGGTAGCCAAGATAATGCCTAAAAATAAGGTTCTAAATTCTGAAGTTTACATGATCCTCTCGTGTGCACCCTTAAGCATATGAATGAAAAAGATCAATGAGTTCTCTATGATAATAAATCACTGCATATCGAAGAGCAGTTCTTCCTAAATTATCTTTTTGATTGATATTTGCTCCATGAGTTAGAAGAAATTCAGCTGCTTCTTTACAAACACTTAATGCTGCCAAATGAGAAGTTTGTCCGTATTCACCTTTTCTCCATGTGAAAGAAGAAATTCAATTACTTTATTCTTAGGATATTATTATTGTGGTATGGTGGTTAAAGATATGGTTAAAATTTTTATAAATTAAATCATTTTATTTCACGTGATGGTCATATTAATGACTATGGACGACGTGCTCTTAATCATGCTCTTTTGAAAAAACATATAGAAAAAGTTAGATTTGAACTAACAGCTCTTCATCCAGCAGCATTTCATAATAGCTAAGAATCAGTGGAACTTCTTGTTTCACATGGTGCCAGTACCAAGGAAAAAGGCGTATCCGGACAAACAGCTCTTCATATTGCTACAAAAAATAATTTCACTAATTATTAAATGTCGGCTTTTAAAACAATTTTTTTTGTTTTATTTTTTAATAAACCTCGAAATGTTCTAGAACACAAGTTGGTAGGATTCCCCACTTTACATGCCGATTGTTCAAAACCCCTACATTCATATTAGTCATTATATAAAAGAGGTGGCTACAACAAAAATATACAATGCAAACTTGTTAAATAAAAACACATTAAACAATAATTTTTTTATTCATACATAAGTTTCTATTTTGAGTTTCTTATTGACATCTCCCCAGTTTTTTGTAGCAACACCGATCAATTTCTTAGGAGAAACTCCTTTGCAAACAGATTGTTCCGTAATTTTTTTAACATTAGGGAAACCTCCTCCAACAAGTTTCTTTTGGTCGACATATTTGAATGCTCCGAAAAACCTCTGGATGAAAGTTTTTTCTGTAATTACTGGAAATTCAACAACAAAAGCTGTATCAACATCCGAACACCATGGACCTTCTGCATATCCGCCAACAGCTTCCCATACCTTTCTATGGCAGCCTTGGAGGACTCCGTGGGTTTCCTTATTTGAGCCAATTTCCTTCCAAGGATTGAACCACGAGTATATCTGTTGAGTGGCTCCTTCAGAAAGGAATTTTGCCATTGCTTGTTCGTAGGACAAGTAAATTGGCTTCATTTCGGATCTGATTAATGCAATATTACTGAATTCTTTTCTTCTTGCTGCATCTAATAAGGATATAGGTATGAGAACATCTGTATTGGCACATATTATGAACTCACCAGAGGCCCTTCTTATGCCTACGTTGCGCATTAGATATTCTGGATTTGTTTCTTCGCTTTTGCTTTGATCAAATGGGACAATAATAACTTTTACATGTGGCTTGATATATTTACCTGGGAAAATAACTCCAACACCTCGAGAATGAGTCAATAAAACAATTATTACTTCAATTGGAGTTGCCGGATATCGTTTGACATAATTATCCAGCCATGCAAGTTGTTTGTTCATATTATCTGTTGTAAAATCAAGTTCATTTGTGACAAAAACAATTGATAAGTAAATTTCTTCAGTTGGAATCAATTGTTTTGCAGCAAAATCAACACCATCCTCAACTTCTGGATCGAGCTTTCCTAAAACACGCTTTCCATTCAATGTAAGGTCGCATTTTGGATATTTATAAGCAATTGTCTCAAATAACTTCTCTGTATCGGTTCGTGCAGGTATCATAATAGCTCTAGGGTAATCGTCGGTCTCTCCAATTATATATGGATAGAGTTTTTCTGTAATGTATTTTGCAGCTGATTTCGAACCAACTAAGTACTCATTTGGTTCGTTTACTGATGGATTTTCTGTAAGTGCACATCTAGAGACAATTACATTCAATAAATCGTTGTGGAAACTTAAATATTGAGGTCCAACAATTTTTGGACTATCTACAAGAATTGTTTCTGGTATCGCCAAATCTTTAGAAAATGTGTATGTTGGAACTTTAATTCGTCGAATAAAAGCTAACAAAAAGGCAGGATCTTCTAATTGTTCAAGACAAAGAAAAGCAAGTCTGTAATCTACGGATCGAAGTACATCGTAAGAAGCCATTTGATTTAAATCGATGTGTGATTTGCCTTTTATTTCAACGTAAGGAATATTTAATTCTTTAAGTTCTGAAACAAGTGAATATCCAATAGGAGTTGTTGATCCCACAACAAGTACATGCTTTTTCTTGGCAATTGGTGGTGCTATGTTTAAGATACATGACAATCGAGATGGATCATCACGATCTACACAAAATGAAGTATAATTCATGCGTCTACTGTATCTGTTATCTAAGCATTCAGCAACAAAAGGATCCGAAATTGTTTGATTAAGAATGGACATGTAAATATATGGAGCTGATGATACTATGATGGCTAATACGATTAAATAGGAAATTTGCTTCTTTTTAGATCCAATATTTGATAAGAAAAGAGAGCAAAGATTCCCACAGCACATGAAAAGTGCTGAATTTTATATAAAATGTCATCAAACTTATCATCCTATGCTATGGTATATCTTGTTTTAATTCCTTTATTTGGATATTTTTTATTTTTTTTTCAGAAATGAAATTTTGGTTATATTCTCATCAAACAAAAACAGTTAAAGAGTCGGACAATATTTTAAGCCTACTCTCACTAGGAAATCATGAAGTTATTTCTGTTGTTGGTGGCGGCGGAAAAACACATACAGTTTTCGAAATATCTCATGAGTTAGTAAAACAAGGAAAGAAAGTAATATTATGCACAACTACAGCAATGATGTTCCCTGAAGAACCAGTTTATACAGGAAACAATATCGAAGAAATTAAATCAATGTTTAAAAACTCGCTAGTCATTGTTGGCACCAGAATAGGACCTAAAAAGATGGGGCCACCAGACTCATCGATTTATGATCAATTAGATTCAATATGCGATTATTTAGTTATTGAAGCCGACGGCTCTCGTCAGCTTCCTCTTAAATTCCCTCGAAGTCATGAACCAGTTTTACATCCTCGCAGTACACTTGTAATTGGACTTGCTGGAATTGATTCTTTCGGTGCAAAATTAGAGGATGTATGTCACAAACCTCCAACAGCAGTTGAATTACTCCACAAAACGAATGAAGACATCATTGATGAAAAAGATATTGCATTTATTCTCGAAAGTGAAGATGGTCAGATGAAAAACGTTAAATGTAGATATATCGCTATAATAAACAAAGTTGATGACGACACAAGATATAACAATGCAATTCTTGTTGCTCAAAATCTGAAAAACCATGATTGCATCTTTTCAACTTATGATCTTTAAAAATTTCTTAGGAAATGCTTATATTATCTCATTTAGATACATATCTTAGTAAATTTTAATAGTTTTGATTTTGATATTTGCAATAAATTCATAATAACCATTATCATTTTTCGCACTGATGTTAAAACCATCTGATCGACATTTACTCAATATTTACAAAATTAACTTAATGAACTTAAGTGATTAAAAAGGAAATCTTCATGATCAGTGTTTTTCCACAGATACAATATGGCATTTATTTTCCTAAACGAATTTTAAAGATGTTTTATATGGTAAAATTGAAATGTGTCTTTATAAAAAGTTCTAAAATTGTTTCATGTCTGATCAAGGCATTCACCCAAATGTTTACAGTGAATTGCGAAGTTTATATAAATGCTACATCGATTCATATAATGCATTGTATCAGCTGAAAACTGAAAAAGAAGACGAAATAAACAAGATTTACAAAATGATCAAAACAGAATTGATTGAATCCAAGAAATGTCTTCCTCAATATATTATGCAAGACATATTAAAAATCATCCCCTATAATAATCGCTATACAAAATCATATTTATCTCTTGCCAAACTCATATATAATGATTATAAGTTAAATGAGGAAATCAAAATTTCATGTACTTTTGAATACCTATTTTATAAAGAATATGGAATTAAATTAAACGAATCGGATAATTTCGAAACAACTAAATTAGAAAATATCAATATTCATACAGAAAATACGATTTGTAGAGCAATTATGTATAATGACAAAGATAGATTCATCACATTCACTGAAAGAGATGATTTTGATAAAAATCAAAAAATTAAAAGTGATTTATATCAATACTCTCATGAAGGATATTCATTACTTGAATTATGTTGTTACCATGGAGCATTTGATTGTTTCGAATTATTAAGAACAAAATTTAACTCAAAAATAACTTATATGTGAGTGAATGTTTGAAATATCAAACACCAGATGAAGCATGCATGAATTTTGCAATTATTTCACACAACATTGATTTTGTTACATTCTTGATGAATACAATATAACGATCAATTTATATTTTTGCGAATGGTATGATAATTTGGAGTCATTTTTTATTTATTTCGATCAAACCAATGATTTGAACAAATGCTTTATTAATTCAGAGAGGTTCAATATTCCATCCTTACTCGAATATTTCCTTTCACATGGTGAAATATCAATGAAAAGGATAACGATGGAAATACCGTTCTTCATAAAGCAGCATGGAAAAATAGTAAAGAAACCGCCGAACTTTTTATTTCATATGGTGCAAATATTAATGAAAAAGATAAATTGGAAAGAACAGCTCTTCATACAGCAGCATTTTGGAATGGTAAAGAAATCATCGAACTTCTTATTTCACGTGGTGCAAATATTAATGAAAAAAAAATAATGGAAGTAGCGCTCTTCATATTGCAGAAAAAATGATATCAAAGAAACTGCCAAACTTCTTATTTCACATGGTGCAATATAAGATGACTATTGTTTTATGATAATCCTGTCTAAGAATAAAAGATAATATTTTTGGTCTTAATGAATCGAACAAAGTCAAAATGAAAAAGTAAAAATAAGCATTGAAAACAGCAGAAAAGATCCGATCGATGTAGATAAACAATTCAAATGGGAAACACATATGAATAATGAACAACTGATTAATCATTAAAAATGATAAAAATAATAATGGCATTATAAGCTGCTGTTCGAGAAGTCAAAGCTTCTGGGAGATTTTGAATAGCCTAATTAGCAAAGTAATAAATAGAACCATGCTGAATCCTGAGCAATCAAGGCGCAAATAAATTTGGAAAATTAAAAAGTTTTTAAAATTATATTGTAAAATTAAAAAGTTTTTAAAATTATATTATATAGCAAACTTTTACAAAAATTAACAACTTGTAATATAGATCCAAAGACAATAAAATAGCAATTAAGCAGTATGTTGCACAAAAATTGGATCTAGCTCAGTAATCCGAGAAAATAGATATTTAAATTTTTAATTCATGCTAAATTGTATATGAATTTCTGATTCAGTGCCGAAGTTCTGTATTAGCGTGTTGAGAATATCTTGTATCTTTATGAAATATTTTTTTGAAATGCAATATAATCTTTAATCCGTTATAAAATTTTGAGAAAGTAAGACATTTGTAATAGCTCATAGAGAGCTATCATATCGCGAGATTAGGAGGATTTTTATAGAGCCATTTTGAAGTCGAAAATTTCGACCCAACCAAACTAACTCTCAATAGCATGAATCTAAGGCTTATATGCTGGTAGGAGGCTGCGCTAGTTTATACTGAATTTCATGATGTCGAGTTAATTTCGAATAATTTCGGGAGTTAATTTTAATTGTGCTAAAAATTAGATAATGGAAATTCTAGAGTCTTGAGTATAGAAATAAACCACGTCAATTTCATAGCCGATAATTGATCACTAAGACCATAGCAAAGTGATAAAGAGGCATATGAAAATGAAATTTAGGTGTCACTTTTCGTGCAAGTACATTTGTTTAAAGCTAATGTTGTAAACAGAAATTCATCAAAAGTGACACATCAGAAAAGCTAAAATATTGAATTTTTGGAACTTTTGATAGAGCACGTTTTTAAATATTAATTAAAGTAAATGTATATTTTGTAAAGATTCTTTTTAATAAAAAAATAAAATTTTGAAGAAGAACACAAAATCTTCTGAAAAATAATATCACATAAACTCATATTATTTTCTAATATATAACTATTTTATATAAAAATCAAATTCAATGATCTTAAAAGCGAAGGATAAACCTCAAAATTTACGAATATAATGAGTGGGAATATAATGCTTATCTATCATAAAACCATATGAAATATCAATTTTTGCTTTACGCCTAATTTTTGACGACAATTAGCAAAAAATGTTAAATGTTAACACTCAGTCCATTTGAATATGAAAAATAAAATTGACTTTGATTAAATGTTTTTATTTATCATGCAATTCTTCTTGCGACCAAGATTTGAATAAAAGTTCAAAAAATAAGATAGCTTAAAAAATAATATACGGTAGTGTTTACTAATAGATGAATAGTATATAAATTCTATTAAAATGGATTTGATCCAAAAAAATAAAACCAAAAATAATTGTTATAATTTAAATGAAGAAGTAATTTAAAACGATTTTATTTATGATCAAATTTTATATATTTTTTTGGATCAAATCCATTTTAATAGAATTTATATACTATTCATCTATTAGTAAACACTACCGTATATTATTTTTTAAGCTATCTTATTTTTTGAACTTTTATTCAAATCTTTGGTCGCAAGAAGAATTGCATGATAAATAAAAACATTTAATCAAAGTCAATTTTATTTTTCATATTCAAATGGACTGAGTGTTAACATTTAACATTTTTTGCTAATTGTCGTCAAAAATTAGGCGTAAAGCAAAAATTGATATTTCATATGGTTTTATGATAGATAAGCATTATATTCCCACTCATTATATTCGTAAATTTTGAGGTTTATCCTTCGCTTTTAAGATCATTGAATTTGATTTTTATATAAAATAGTTATATATTAGAAAATAATATGAGTTTATGTGATATTATTTTTCAGAAGATTTCATTCTATATGCCTATGAAAAGTACTCTCAAAACTAACTTTTTCCTAATTATAATTAAATCTAGAATATTGTATTATGCTTAGTATTATTTCATTTTTCTCATTCAATTTAGAATTTACAGATGTCAAAAAATTGAGAGCTGTCACTTTTGATGAATTTCTGTTTATTACACTAATTTGAGAAATTGATATATATCTGTCCATATCAAAGATTTATTAAAAAAATTCTGATACAATTTCGTAATTTTTTTTTAGATGAGTCATAAGCTCATCCAGAATTATGAATATATAGCTGCACATATCAAAGATTACATTCAAGAGGAAAAGCTTTTTGATATTTTTGAACTCAAAGATTTAAAGAAAATCCTAAGATTAGCGAACTTTACATCAGAAGATTTCATTACTCTTCTTAAACAATCTGAATCTACCCTTGATGAAAATGAGTTATATGAATGCGCTCGAAACACTAAAGTTTCAATCCGCAATTACCAAGAAGTTATTTCAACACTTAAATCTGTTCGAAAATACATGAAATTAACTATGTTAGATGGAATTATTGGTTTTTTAGATGAAACTGATAAAATTATTTCAGAATCAACAGTGAAAATCCAAAAACTTCAAGCAGAGTTAAATTCCATTCAAAAAGCAAAACAAAAAAGTGACAACGAACTACAATTTCTTAAGGGTCCACTGTAAGGCCAAATAAGGACTATCGTCGTCCCAAAAATATTGCTCAAGATGGTGTTTTATAGAATTCTCTTTCTTTTAATATCAATCATCGTTTTATAGAATTCTCTTTCTTTTAATATCAATCATCGTTTTATAGAATTCTCTTTCTTTTAATATCAATCATCGTTTTATTACATTCTCTTTCTTTTAATATCAATCATCGAAAAAAAAAGGTAGTGGGGCTTCCAGGCGCGTTGCGCCCTCTAGCCCTGAAGATGTTTAGTATAAATGAAGTTTTTATTCGGAGGGCTTCCAGGCGCGTTGCGCCCTCTAGCCCATAAAAAATTTCTGAGGACGAGCCAGCCGTTGACTTTTTTGTAGAGCACTCAAAATAGTATAACTTTGTCCGGACAAGTAAGGGTCTATCGTCGCTACAGGAAAAGTTACAGGCGTTCCAAGGAAGTATACTTTGAGAAGCCTTTCCCCCCTTATAGAATGAGATAGGACGGTTATTTTACAAAACTGACAACACTTTGACCGAGTAGTTTTTTGTGCTGAACAAAAAGTGTCATATAAACATTGTCAAAAACCGTTTTTTACTTCACTTAAAATGCCACGTAAGCTACGTAAGAATATACGTAAGAGGAAGGGAGCATTGAAACATCCAATAGTAAAACTGACACCACAACAACAGTTGCAACAACAAATGATGAATGACCCCACTATGCTGCAACAAATGTCAAGCAACCCTATGCTTTTAAACCGAGTTATTGGTGCACAGAGTGGAGGTTTAAGAGCGGCACTTTTAGCGAAAATGACAGGCTATGGTGGAGCTGCAGACGGAACAGCTTATAACCCTCAAAGTCAAATGAATTTGAGTTCACTCAAAAATCAAATAACAGATGTCAAAAAGTCAAACATAGACATACAGAAACAAATAAGTGAAAACGAAAAGAAACTAGAATATGACAGACACACAAAGAAACTCAATGAGTTAAACGTAGAGAAAAAGAAGAAAGAAGAACAACTGAAAGAACTAAGTACAGAGGAATATGCGAAAAAAGTGTCAGAAAAAGCAGCAGAAGTAGCAAAAATGGAACAAGATGTTATAAATTTGAAAAACCATACTACTCAATATAAAGTACTGAAAGATGAAGAGATAAAACAAAAAGCCATGAAGACATATATGGATAGCGATGAGTATAAAAAAGAAGTTGAAGCAAATGTAAAGGCAGAAAAACTTTTACAGTTGCAAAACCAAACCGTACAGTATGAAAACTTAGCACAAGAAAGTAAAAATAACGACGCAGCCATGCAAAAGGCAATGAAAAGCGCAGAATATATAAAAGCTAATAATGACTGGTTAGATGCCCAAGCCAACGCTAAAGCAGCCCAACTTATAGGGTCAATAAGGACAAAAATACAAGCGGATGAAGACAGTTCAAATGAAGCTTTAATGAATGCTGACTTTAAGAATGCCTTCGAAGCTCTTCATAGTAAGGTGAAACTAGTGAACGACTTCTCATCTGGAAAGAAACTGAAGTCTGAAGGTTTCGACAAAGAGTTAAGAGAAGTAGCACAAAATATGACGAAAATAACAGATGCAGCAACGAGACAGGCAGTTCAAAGTGCCTATGACGCCGTTAGAGCAACTGTTGTGGAAAGTCAAGAAAAAGAGTTACAACAGACCAAAACAGACCTAGTAAATGCTTTCTTAAGAACGAAAAGTCAGGTAGGACATTATGCTGCAGATGGAACATATGTGCCAGCTGGTGGAACTTATATACCACCAAACCCTCCAAGAGAAGCACCTGCACCAGGACTACCTAAAACATTTACATCGTCACATGGACACAGACACAGGCATGCACCACAACAACAACCAAAACCAACAGTTCAAAACCCTGCACCACAACCAAAACCAGCACAACAACCACCTCCACAACCAGCACAGCAACCAACAGTTCAAAACCCTGCACAACAACAACCACAAACAGAGCAAGGACATAAAAGAAGTAGAGAAAAAGGAAACCAAGAATTCTTAAAAATGCTTAAGGAAGATTATGGTTACCCAGATACTCTTGACTTTAGTGACAGATATAAAGAAGCTATTAGAAAGTTCAAGGAAGGAAATACTGACCCGAACCTATTTAGCTTTATGGTTCAGCATCAAATCGGATATAATCTCAAACCTGGAAAATACAAGCTCGCTAAGGGATATGATTTAATAGCATATCATCCAAATGACATGAATGAATTTACTCCGAGATATTTGATGTCAGAGCTAAATGATAATTCAACTCTCTTCATGAAACGCGTAAAAATAGAGACGGAACGAAAGAAGAAAGGTTTATGAGTCCGGATGACTTAGATAGGGAACTTGTTAAAAACGGTCTCGGAATATATGAAATGCCACCAGATGAGGTACAAGAAACTCACAGGAAGAAGTTCAGATACAACCAGACATGGAAGAAATAGTTCAGCAACAACAGCTAGAAGAGCCTGAAGGAAACGAACAAGTCCCTCCTTTGGAAACTAACTTCACAGAACTAGATGAAGATTTGGAACAGCCGAAAAATCTTGACCCTCAACAAGAGTATGAAGTGAATATGGAATCTTTCCAAGAGTCTAAGAAAAATTCGGCTGACATAGTAGAAGAATATCGAAAAATGTTCACCGACATACAAAAGACTCCAACATCAGATGAAAATATTCAGCATAGAATGGAAGTACTGAAAGAAAATGTACGCAAATACAATAATCCTTTTTACTTACGACCATATAACGTTCAATCTTTGGCTGAACTCGGTGAAAATAAAAGGTTAAATTTCAACAAAACATATAGAAATGAAACATTGTTTAAAGTTCATTCAGAACCTAACCAATATGGAAACAAACCTACTTTTGTTTCTGCAGACTATGGAACTACAATGAGATGGGGTCATAAAGCTAATCCGGATAGGTGGTTCATAAACTTACAACCTCAATTCCAAGAAGTTGTAGACGCAATGGAAGTGAATGGTGAACCAGATATAACGGGTATTTTCAGCGCGGCTTTAATGCCATTGAAAGATATGAAAGATGCAGATATTTGGACCAGTATGAAATGAACATGGCTGAGGGAAATATAACACCTGACGTTCTAGAACATTTATCTCAAAGACTACACAGAACCATAGAGATGGTATATTTGGTGAAGAGTTTAGAAAGACAGCTAGGGAGAGAGAAGGAAGAGAACCTATTGTACATGACCTTGCAAACGAAAGTTTGCAAAATGTCATAAAAACTTACTTTGCAGACAATGAACTGAGAAGGGATGAATATTTCAGAAAACTCAAATGGACAGTACCAAATGAAATGTTAGTATTGAAAAACATGTTCCTTGACAAAATAAAACCAACTACAGAAATAAATGACGCAAGACTGAAACGTTGGGTAAAAGCTTTCCCATTCACAAAAGATATTATTGGTTACATGGAAAGAAAACCAGAATGGCTACAAAAACATATATTTGGAAACGAGCTTATTCCATATGGACAAGCTATATTTGAAGAGCTTGAACCGGAAACTCAGGAAAGAGTCATGCAAACAATAAGCGAAGACTCAAATACAAACTATGACAAAATCTTTCTAGGATATAGGTTACCTGAGATGGCGACCAGAGCCCAAAGGCAAAAAGGACATGGGAAATTTACAACATACTAGGTGAACATGAGGCAAAGATGCAACAACTTAAAGCAGAGGGCAAGTTACCAAAAGCGACACCAAAGAAGAAGAGTAGAACAAAGTGAAAATAGTGAAGAAGTAACTTCATCTAGTGAAAGTAGTGGCAATGAAGGAAAAAGAAGAGTTAAAAACTCAGTCAGGAAGAAAGTAAAGCTTGGTACGAGTGGGTTCTATTATGACACATAAATTCAACTATTCTATATTTTTACCCATATGAAATGTACGCCGCTCAGAATATAACGCCAACAGTTTTGGATGCCATGAACGGAAATGTTTCCGAATGGTATAACGAATGCGACAATGCCATTAGAAGGTCAGAAATAGTTCCTGGAACTTACGAATATACAACTGCTGTTTCTTATGGAAACGTAGGTGAGTTTGGAGAAGGTTCTTCAACAACAGTAGATATTGCTTGCGACAGGTTTCATATTATTTCTATTGACAACTCATTCTTATACGTGGAACAAGACATTGAAATAAAACCTTCTGCCAAGTTGTCTGACAAGAAAGGTTGCAATGGAATTTTCTATGTCGGATACCAATATGCTCCAGAAGTTTTCATGGGATATAAGATATATTCTAACTCTGACTTAGTTCAAACAGTAACATGGGCAAACTATGAATGGTTCGCTTTGAGAAACTCAGTACAACCACAAGCTAGAGAACAAACAGACCAGTATGCAACTATTGAGAAAATAAGAAGACTTGACCCTAACGTTCCAGGAGTTTATGTTAACCTTTCTGGTTCAGATGGAACTGCTGCCACTAAAGTAAAACTGAAACTTAGAGTTCCTTTGTCATCTTTCCTCATCTTCAGGTTTTAAGATACTTGCCAAACTGGGCAGGAAAATTTCTATCGAACTTACTCCAAGCAAAAATAACTTAGTCATTGCACCAACACAAGACCCATTCACTCTTACAGACGTAAAGGGAACAAATCAAACGTCATTCGCCGAATTTTGCAAAGACAAAGTTGACTTAGACTTTGGTTTCTCAAACTTCAACAATGAAGTAAACTATTATTTCAATGCTGCTGGAACTGCTTGGGACCCAGTTAAGTTTACATGCGAACAGTTTGAATGCAAGAGAATAGAAAGCAGACTTGCAGTCTATATGTTGGACCCAGATATTTCAAATGCTTTAGCTGCCAAATATATTGCAGTTCCACTTATGTTCCCTATACACCAAATATCTGTCAAAGACTTTGCAGGTGAAGTTGGAAACCAAAATCCAGGAGCCGAAGGTGCAAGAACAGATATTGCTTTAACAACTGCAATGAAACATGCAGATACTATGTTTGTACTGTTCAGACGAACTATAAATGACTATTCTTGTTTCTACAACCCTGGTATTAAATATCATATAAACATAGATGGCAAATATTATCCAGAGAAGAATATTCTACAGTTGAGGATATGAGTCATACAACTTGACATTAGATGCTATGAACTTTAAACAACAACTTCACAACAACCATTAACCCTGAATGCAAAGTTCTATTATGCCATATGTGAAAGTATTGGACTCATACAGGAGGTCAAAAAACTCAATATACAAATGGAGACCGTTCAAACTTTTGGCTTGGCATTCCATTTGCTGACTCAGAAGACTTTATGGGTGGTATTTCAACTGTTGGTACTGTACAAATACAATATACTGGTGACAGAGACGGTCCAGATGAATTGAGAGCAAAGAAGTTTACAAAACCAATAGCACTTTTCACGGAAGATGCTCTTTTGAAGATTCGTTCGATGAAACCTGCTGGGGCTCCTCAGATTGGCATAACGACAGCTTCCATCGAGCAGATTTTGGCAGCAGGTCAGTAAGTTGTTCTTGAACTGACTTCTCTCCGTCAAATATTGACAGTACGCCAGTTTTGACATAATATTGTATTATAAACTTTTCTTTAGTAATATCGGTCAGTTTTGAAGTTATATTTTTGTCTGCTTCAAGAACTTTCACCATCTCAGTTATACCAACTTTCTTTGCTTTATGAAAATATTTTGGTTCAGCAAAGACTGCTATTCTATAACATTTTCCATTGTTTGTGTAAAGAACTATTCTGTCAATGTATTTGTATTGTTTGTGAGTATAAACTTTGTTCTGCTTCAATTCAATAAGATATCCGAATACGTCCATCTTTTTATTCTAAGTAAAATGTCATTTCCGAAAAATAGAAGCGTAAGTGTTTCAAAAAGGTTTAATGGCGGTGGCAGATGTGAAGTTAAATTCACCAACTCAAACAAACAGTCAAAGTGTTATTGTCAATGTCAAAGACAGAGATGTTGAAGTGGGGAAACCATACGAAGACGAAGATGGTATAACAATTGTTCCTGTAAAAGAACCAACATATCCTGAAGTTAACAGAGACTTAAGTTCTGTTGCAGATATTCGAAACGACTACCAACAACTGAAAGACAAACTTCAAACTCAGGAGAAGATTTGTCAAGCTTTAAGTATAATGTTAAACTTGGTCGAACACAACCCTGTAAAAGTGAACTCATATGTCATTGCACCTCATGAAGTTTTGAAAGAACTATTGAAACTTTTGACAGAGGCAGACGATATAAACATCAAAGAAATAGAACCCGACATTGGTTGCTGTGGTGTTTCATATAATGTCATTGACAAGATATACGTTATGAAAGGAGGTGAAACGTTGAACTTAAAATATAGTTTCCCAGACGTTATAAAAATATTTGACGACCACAACATTTCATTAAAATTTATTTGCTAAGTAAATGGCAGAAGACATAATGGTTTATACTATTACGACTAAAAACCCTGAGTCAGATAATTCTATAACAACAAACTTACAAAGTCCTCAAGGACGATATTGTAAACTAACCTTAAACACAATGACGACTAAAGCCTGTTTTGCTCTTTTGACACCAGAAGACTTTATTGTTGTGAATGGTAAAAAATACTCCTTTGAAGATACTTACTCAGATATACCACCAACAGGTTTTGTTGACTTATTTAATACTTTAAGTACGGGTGTCACATGTGCTGCAACTAGAGCAGGTTTCATTATGTTTGGATGTCCGACTGAGTTTACTATAAACGATATGAGCTATAATACAAAACTTATTTCTGGTTTTTACTACCAACAGTTTCCTATAACAGGAAAAGGTGTCATACAAGGAATGTCTATTCCATTGACATTAAGCACACCAATCTTATATATTGTTTCAAACTTAGGTTCAAAGTGTTATTCGAATGTCGACAGAAACTATTATGACCAAAAGATACTTATGCGTATAAACAATACTTTCTCTGCTGGTTTGCCTATTGTTCATTCGAATGCAGAATTTTCAACCTTATTGAACTCAAACACTTTGGCATGTATAACGTTGACATTAGTTGACGCAAACTTTGTTCCTGTAAAACTTTTATGTCCTATGTATTTGTCAATGACGGCAGAAAGTTTCGAATTGGAAGATGCAACTGGTGAAAGTATTGTATTACAAGAACAACTTCAACAACAAATAGCTCAAGAACAACAAATGCAACAAATGCAACAACAAAGTCAAGAATAAAAAAATAATATTTTTTTATTTTTATAAAAATGTACAGAATAGATGTTTCAGATTTTTATGACTTCCAAGCATTCAGAAATATGTGTCCATTTAGAGACTATAACAAAGCAGTCGAGAATTTGAAACGTTTAGTCATTTATGTTGACTCTGCCCCAGAATGTTATGTCATGAAAGAATGGGATGTTGTCTTTAACAAACCAAGAGCAACAATAGTTTCAGAACAAGAATGTAGACAGAAACTTAAGAAAATAAAAGTCGTACAAGTTGGCATGAAGATGTTAGATGCTTGGGATATCTTATTGTTAAAGTTAGAAGATTTTTCAGTTCGTGGTATAAAGTTTTATACACCTTCTCCAAACTTCTATTCTATCTTCACTGGATATAAATACGAACAAGTAGAATGGAAAGAAAATATTATAGAAGCTTGGTTAGACCATGTCAAAGAAATTATATGCAATGGAAACGAAAAGGTTTATGAGTATATCTTATGTTGGTTTGCAAACATCTTACAACATCCAAGTGCTAAGAATGAAACTGCTCTCATTATAATTGGAAAACAAGGAACAGGTAAGAACACATTCTTTACAGATATCTTATGCAAACTATTAGAAGGTTATTCGAACCCTAATATGACAAACTTAGAAAACATCTGTGGCAAGTTTAACTCTTCTATTGAGAATATGAAACTTATAGTTTGCAATGAACTTCAAAGTATAGATACAACAAAAGTTTTAAACTCAGATGCTTTGAAGAGTCTTTTAACAGATAAAGTTGGAGTTGTTGAAAGAAAGTATAAAGACCAAAGAGTTTGTGAAAATGTTGCAAACTTCATTATGGTTTCAAACAATGCTGTTCCGATGAAGTTAGAAAGTTCTGACAGAAGATATGTAGTTGTCAGAACGTCAGATTCTCATATGCAAGATACAGAATATTTTGACGACTTAGCAGAAACTTTGACATCTGACTTTTACAACCACTTGTTCTCATATTTCATGACATTAGATATTTCTAAGTTCAATCCAAGACAAATTCCACATACCGAAGAGAGACAAACATTGTTAGAAGCAAACAAGAGTGTATATGAACTGTTCATAGATGAAACTGACTTTGTGTCATTAGATGAAAAGTCTTTATATGATGAATATAAACAATATTGTCAAGAGTATGGTTATATGGCAGCTTCTAAACGTACATTCTTGGCAAATGTCAAAAGTCTTTTAGATGTTCAGAATGGTGTATACAAAAAAAGAAAATTTTTTCTGAGTAAATTTTAAAAAAATATTTTTTTATCCGATAGAAAAGATGACGAAATTCATCTCGGTAAACAAGTACATGTAGGACTTAAAGAAGAACTAGACCCATTCACATATTTGAATGTTTACTTCTACCATTTTGAAAAGTCTTCATTCAGCAAAGTTTGGAACATCGAACCAGTTAAGTTTGCTATTGTGACTAAAAATGGTGCGAAATTTGAAGACTTAGACATAGAAGGTTTGTTAACAGTCAAAGAAAGTTTTGACAGAAGGTTCTCAAACCTTAAAGAAGGCAAAGCATACAAACTTGTTATACCTTATGAACCAAAGAAGACAGACGACTATGAATATTATGAGTCTAAAGTTGTAGAAGTTCAAGGTAAATTGGGTAAAAAGATTTTAGAGTCTAAGCCAGTGTTTACTCCTAAAGAGGAAGAGAACATTGACATTGACCCAGAAATGTTCTAAAAATAAAATTTTATTTTTACATGTCAAATTTCTTTTTCTCTGGAACTGGTTCAGGTTCTTTCTTCTCTTCTTCTTTTTTCTCTTTCTTTTCTTTCTTCTTCTTTTCTGGTGGTGAGACGTCAAATTTCTCAGAACCATATTTATGTAAAAGTTCTTTGTCCTTTAATAGCTCATCTATTCTGTTTTCTATTTCATCTTCAAGAACAGCGCATGTGTCTTCTTTGCATTCTAAGAACTTTTGTTGGACTTCATCTTTCCAATCGGCGTCATCTCTGTCAACAATCTGTCATTGACAAATTTTAAGACTGCTCTTTGTAATGTTTTATGGTTCTTGTCATATTCCCAGAAACAGAACTTTAGAACAAATTCACCTTTCTTGTTTACACTATGTAAGATTTTATGGTCGACAGATGTTTTGCTGTCAAAAGCTTGTCTCGAATATAGATAGCGAAATCGCTAGACATTTTCTAAAAGATAAAAATTTTAATTTTTCTAAAAATATGTTAGAAAAAAGTTTGCTGACATTGACAAAAATTTGAGAATGTTTTAAACAAGAACAAGAGGAAGTTAGAAAATGCTCAGATAAAGCCTATACATGACAAGTTCTTATTTGCTCAGAATGGTATAACAGGTCTAATTGCACCACCTGGGTCGGTAAGACTTTCACTTATCTTAAAATGGCTGCACAACAACAAGAACTAGATGAGAAGAACCCATTCTATGAGTTAGTAGTCATTTGTTCGACTTCTGGTCAATTTGACCAAACCGTCAATTCGTTCAAAGATATTATAAAGAAGTCTAAGTTAGTATGTATAAAGGATACTGAGTTGTTAGATTGGATAAAGAAGTACCAAAGAAGAGTTTTGAAGTATAATGCTATAAATGAGTATATAAATTCTAAGTTTAAAGACCCAAATGAGGAAATGCAGAGAATATTAGAGAAGAAACACTTCAGAAACAAACAGAAAGAGATAGAATACATTTCGAAGAAATTGCAATCTTACGATTGGAAGACATACCTCATAGGTGTCTTCTTATCTTAGATGATTTCGCCTCTCATCCTTTGTTAAAGAACAGAGAACAAGATATGTGTCGAATTCTTAAGAAGCTCAGACACTTCAACATCTCTGTTGTCATTTGTGTACAGACAGCAAAGAGTTTAAGTAAGGATGTTAAAAGAATACTTACTGACATAATACTTTTCCCCGGATTGTCCGAAGACGATTTCATGGAACTTATGAAAGAGTCCATGGCAGGTAAGTTTGACAGACATGAACTATGGGAGAAGTACAAAGTCATACAAGACCCTCATACTTCTTTCAGAATTCATATCTACGCAAACAAAGTTCAAATTGTAAAAAGTCAATAAAAATAAAGAGTGCATCTACCCTACTTGTTTGAAGTTGTCAAAATACTTTTTCTTTCAGTAGCGGTAAGTCTTCTTTGAAGGTAAGTATTGTACAACCTTTCATATCATAGTGTGTTTGAGGTAACGTATCTTGAACTATTTGTTTCACATCTTCATTTGGGGTCATTGAAATCGGTAAGTTTTCGCGATAGAACCAATTTCTGTCAGATTTGTAAATCTTAGCAAGGTCGTAAAAGCTTTTGTTTTTCTTCTGACTAAATGCAACATAACCATATCTTTATCTTCTTCATTTTCCAACTCTTCAGTATAAATCATATACTTATAGTTTTTTCCTTTCCTTTTGGTACTGAACGTGGTATTCTTTTCTGAATGCTTTTGTCTTTTGCTTCAATGACTTCATCTTTTGCATGAAGTTTCTTTTCCATCTCTTCACGTTCTTGTCTATGAATTTCGTCAAGAAGTCTGTAAATATACCAAGCATAACGAGGCGAAGCCCTCACATTGCAACAGCATTTACAAGAAGTCTATGTACATAAATCCTCTCAAACCGTTTGGCAATTTTTCACGATTTTCATAGAGTTTTGGCGACTGGGGTTTTTCTCCCACTCGAGTTTTTGCGACTACAGGATTTCTCGTAGTCGAATTTTCAGCTTCATTTAATAGTTCAATAGTGCTTTGGTTCCTAAACCAGTCTTGTGGTTTCTTATTGTCGGGTGCAAAACATGCTGTCAAAATACTTTGCATTTGGTACATATCGTCTTTGACCGAACGAATGAGACGTAACTGTTTGTTATACTGTATGTACTCGTATTCTTCATTTATAGCTTCATGGACTATAACTGTTGTTGTGTTCTCTGTTGTTGACATTACTGTCTTTACATACAAAATAAAAAAATAAATAAAAATAAAACTAACTTTATTTTTTCTATCTTAAGGAAATTCATGATTTTTGTGCTGAATTTAATAAAAATAATGTTTAGGTGAAGAGGTGAGATTTCACCTGTTTTTTCACCCCAGTTATTTTATAAACGTTTCACATGGTAAACGTTATTTTTTAAATTTTGTGAAAACTCAACGGTTTGACACATGCCCTAAAAATTATTTTACTCAGAATTTTGTTGCTGAATTCAATAAAAATATATTTTAGGTGAAGAGGTGAGATTTCACCTCTTTTTTCACCTAATTTTTCACCTCTTTTTTTCACAAGCGTTTTACATGAATTGTACGATGTATATTTGAAATCCTAAACAGTTTTGTAGCTTCTATTTCTTCGCTGAGGATATCAAAAGTTTTAACAATGCCGAAGGTTTCTTTATACTTCTTCTTGACATCAGATAATAGGAAATCGTCAGCAGTTGGATAGTTTTTGTTCAGAAATTCTAACATGTTCATTTTATTTTCTACCGGCTTCTCTGCCTCCCTCTTTAAATCTGCATAGTCGTTTCTCATTCTTTCTATCTCTTTGACGGAGTAGTTATATTTCCTCATTGCTGCTTTACATTTAGAACATTGCGGGTTCATTTTTGCGTTATACATTGAAACCTTACCTGCTAAAACAACCAAGGCGTCAATGGTTTTCTTTAACTCAAAAGCAGTTGGTTTTATCTGTTCATTCCATACCTTACCTCTTCTATCTTTATCTCTTATCTGCCATACACATTTTGCAGCTAATGAAACAAAGTTGTCGTATGTCTTAAACTCCCCAGATTTATATATGTCAGAGATGTTCTTATATACCATGTCGCAATCTTTGTCCATAACTTTATGGTTGCAATGATATCCTAGAAACTCATAATTTACCTTTCGTATGAACTTCTTTATTTCTACTGAGTCAGTTGCTTTGACTTCAATTTCGTCGAATTCAGGAATAGTTAGTTTTGCTGCTGAATTTCAGGTAGTTTAGGCAAATGGTCGATGAGGTCCTCCATTTCATAAAGATACTGTTCATTTGTTTCATCTTTCGCACTACAGTCTAAATTACTTGTTAAAAGTTCCTGCTTTATCTTCTGGATTTCTGTTTCGAAAGTAAATGAAGAAGGAATGAAGCTTTTCATTTCTACTAACATAGATGTTGGATTCATGACTAACGAGTTTGGTGCTGTTGTTTGAATTGTTGTTGTGCCGATTGTTGACATTTCTGTTCTTTTATACAAAATAAAAAAACAAATAAAAATAAAACTAACTTTATTTTTTATTTCGGGAAAATTCATGAAAATTCAAGAGGGTGAAAAAAGAGGTGAAATCTCACCTCTTCACCTAAATTATATTTTTTGGTCCGGGAACAACTTTCTCTCAATTGGAGCTGTAGCATACTCTTTGCGTAAGCGGTTCAGACCTTCTTCGAAGTCTTGGTCTCTCTTGGACTGAGATTGGAATTGCTGGGGTGGAGCTTGCATAAACATCCAAGGGTTGGGGAAGTAAGGCATAGGCTGAGGAGGGTAGTTCGGGAAGCCTTGTGATGGGTAGTAACCTTGAGGTGGAAATTGGTAGTAATTCGGAGGTACTTGCTGGAACTGAGGTTGCTGAGGAGACTGTTGTGGTCCTGCAGCTTTCGGTTCTTCTGGTTTGGGAATGGACTCGGTTGGTGGGACGTCGGACATTCGTTTGTGGCTTAACCGTCGGACCACAACGATAAAAATCTCTGCTACTAGCAGTACTTTTACTGACAGTAGCAGTACTTTTACTGACAGTAGCAGTACTTTTTCTGACAGTAGCAGTACTTTTACTGACAGTAGCAGTACTTTTTCTGACAGTAGCAGTACTTTTACTGACAGTAGCAGTACTTTATCGTCGAAAACCTCTCAAATTTTCCTTTTTTCTGCTCCTAGCATACTTTTACTGACAGTAGCAGTACTTTTTCTGACAGTAGCAGTACTTTTACTGACAGTAGCAATGGTCGAGGTCGAACCTACCGACGAGGCAATTTACCTAATTGAAATTAACGAGCTTGTTAAAGACTTCCTCAGGCAGAATGTAAAAGGCAAGCTTGTTAACGGTTGGATAACGGGAAGGGCTGCCTTGAACTCGAGATTTCGACTGGAATTCCAATTGAGGTACCAGAAGGCACTCCTTTCGACGACATAAAGCAAGCAAAGAAGGAACCATTATAAAGTTCTTGCCAAGCGTCCTTGGATACTACTTCCAAACAGAGAGAACCCTTTCCCAAGAATGAACCAAATTCTCAAGGGTCTCCTTCACTTCTCTGGTCAACCATTCTTTATAACTACAGAAGCGACATTCAGCCAGTTCAGTAAACATCTCATTTTAACTCACTTTTTTATGTTTTTGTGAAAGTGTCAAATAAATTGTTTCATGAGTTTTCTACGATGTTAGAAAAAATGTTATTTTCTAATATCTTCACATTCAATACTTTTTCAGCACTTTTCTGTAGTTATATATGAAAGACAATTCGAGATAAAAGTCATAGTACAATGGAATAATATGTTGCACACCATTTGTTGTGAACCAAACTTGAAAGTCAGAGAAACTGTTACTAGGTGGTTCGTAGAATTTAGAAGCAAAGTCATAAAGGTCCTTACCAATACATAGAAAACTATTGTTGCTTGAACTGAAACTTGCATGACACATAACATTTTGGGTCAAACACATTTCTATAAACCATCAAATCTGCTGGTGGAAGTATAAATTTAAATGGACCATCTGGTGGTAATGGTTCGTTCTGGTTTAGTAACCGAAGAAATTGTGCCCAAGAACGTTTGTCTACTTCCCAAAATAAAAACTCTGTATCTCTTGGAGGGTTAATTTCAATCTTTTGAAATGAAACGGTGGAGTTCATCTTGTCATATTCTAGTTTCAGATAGTATGTTCCATTTAGTAAAGAGTCGTATTTTTCTTGAAATTCCCAATAATATTTGTTC